AGAATAATTATTTTTTCTGTTTGTTGTCTTCTGGCTGGTGAGAGTTGAACTGTGGCCGTAGCGCAGCAGCTGCACTTTGGGTAGATTCTCGAGCCAGGCACGCACCCTCGCCGGCTGGGAAGCTGTTCATATGTGTCAACCCCTTTGGACGTTTACCTGTATAATGAGCCTCAAAAATCTATATATTTTGCTAAAAATCCGTAGGCTGCCACTCGTACCCACGCATGGCGGTGGGGTGGGGGTCTGACCGTGGAGATGACAGCGTCTACCGTAACGCAGGAGGAAAGGAGAGAGGAAAACTGTGCTGCCTCCGATGGTTTCACAGCAGTTMCTCTGGCTGCCTAGACTTTGCTTTTGTTCTTTGGGTACAATCAATCCATTATATTTTACCCACTTCTTTCTTTCAAGGTCACGGGGGTCACTGGTTCCCATGTTTAGCAGCCACTGTGTGAGGGGTGGGGTACATCCTGGACAAGTTGCAAGTCCATCACTGGTACACATAGACAAGACAAACAACCATTCACTCTCTTCACACCTAAGAACACTTTAGAGTTACCAATTAGCCTAACATTTATGWTTGTGGTCTGTGGGACCTWTTTGAGGACAATGTATAGCACTACTTCAGTCATCAAAATTGATGGCATCATAGGCAAGTAGTGTCTTGTATAGTAGCAGGTCATTCYAGTGATCATCTACAGCCTTTGAACATTTGAAGCACCACTGGCAATACACCAGAGTGACAAAGTTCACAAAATCTCWAACCTTCATCTGGGTTGCTTGTACTGTTAGGCAGACTACAGTCTTTATCTGAGGGCCATTTATGCCACTGGTCTACCTTAAAGTCTTAACACCTTCATCCAAAATCTTACCTAAAAGCATAAGCATTAGCTCACGATACTTTACTGAGCTATTGTTTTGAAAAACATATTCAAATATCCAAAAATATCCAAATATCTTTAACATTCTATTTCAGAATAGGCTAACTGAGCATTTGGTTTTTCAAATGGACTCAAGTTCAAACTACAGTATAAAAGATCCTTCAACCTGTTTGATTATTCATTTCTTAACATTTTGGACGTCTTGACTGTGGCACCAGCAGATTTTAGGGAAAGAAGTGAAATGCCCATGATAAATATTAGATCTAAAGAATATACAGAACTGCTGCCTGATRATAGGCTAAGCATGAAGAACACACAGCATAAAGGGCAGTAAATACTTTAAAAATTGCTTCCCATGCTGAATTTGGTTCGACTTCTCTGCCTTTGTTATTAACATTCATKATCTAAATGTTAAACTTTCATTATTTTTCAGTATTTCAAAGATTTTCTCTCTCAAACACAAGTGTTTTGAGGCAAAGGCTTTAAATAACTGATCTCTTCATTTTCCCCCAACTACGTTGGGTCTTATTCACACAGAAGTGTCATGTCTGACTTTGGGTCAGTGGGAGATATGAGAAATGTAAATACCAGGGGAGCCAAGTTAAAGTGACAAACAGTTGAAAACTATGTCTAACCAACACACCACACATCTTTTAGGTTTGATTTGCTGTGTTTTTAAAAAGAAAAACCAAAGCAGAGGAAAACAGCTCTGAGATTCCCATTTCCGTCCCCATTACCAAAAAATGAGTGCAATCTGCAGAGAAAACTGAAATAAGACACTTTTATTTTGAAAAAAAAAAAGTTCATAGATTACTTTCATGAAGAAAATACTAACTACTGAAAACTATTTGGTTGAAAATATATTTACATGTGAAATGTCATTGGACATATGGGCTATATTCAAGTTTATTCCAGTCTAAAAGTGCAAGTTTTGTAGATGTCTAATAGTCCATCGGCTAGGGTGGGTTACGCCCCCCCGCCCCACAACTGAACTTCTCTGGTATTTTCATTTGCCCTAGGGTGCACTCTTTGAGAAAATGCATGTTAATAAAACAAGGTAGGTCTCACTGTCCCCCAGGGTTATCTTTTTGACCCCTTTTTTCATTGTGACCATCAAAATTAAGGGCACAGAAAACCTAAATACGAATAATTTTGCTATAAACCAGCTACATTTTATAAACAAGGTATCAACAGATTCATACTGATTAGCTCTTTGATTTTAATGGCATTTCATTAAACAATTGTGCAAGCAATGCAAAAATGCAAACTTTATCCAGAAAGGTCCCTGTTGGGGTTGGACGATATTGGCAAAAAAAAAAAAGCAATCACGATTAATTGTGGTATTTAGCCGATAACGATTAATTTGATGATTAATCCCCTGGAGTCCCTGGACACCCTTATGTCCTGGTCACATGACCTATTTAGTGGGAAAGATTTGCTCTTCGCACAAATCTTTTCCAAATTGTGTCAAAATCACAGACTTCAGGTTATACATCAAATTTTAAATTGTGTTGATAGATAAATTACAGAACTTTTGTTTAAACGTTCGTCATATTTGAAGCGGAGAGGAGCACCAAGCGGACTGACCGGAGTAATATCCAGTCAGCCTGCCTGGTGGCATTAATCGTATGAATCGTCACGTGCCAAAAATTAATTGATTAATGTTTTTCTGATGATTAATTGCACACGATACGATTATGTCCAACCCTAGTGTGTGTGCCGGGATTCGACCTTCTTGCAGAGAGGCAACAGCTCTGCCAACTGAGCCCCTGTGCTGCCCAGATCCAGTAATGTAAACAATCTGTCTCTTTAATATATTAGTGCTTTTCATTTCAYATTTTTCCATAGCAATCACTCATTCTGGTTTATATGGAAACATATGGAAATGCTGCTGAATCCATTAGGCAAAAATAAAAACGCTAAATAACCAATTCTCCTGTGTGTGGTTGTATTTCTATAGCTTTTAACCTGTAGTAACTTCTAGTATAAATCATAGAGGGCAGGTGCACTCTCTGCATCCTCAAGGGGTCTGCATTTCTACATCTCAGCACTGAACCATTCTGGGGAAATAAATAAATAAATAAATA